ATTATATATGAAAAAGTTATTGATCCATGAGATAAAAGCTTATAATTAATTAAATATTAAAGAAAGAAATAATATATTAAATTTTATTATTAATAGATATTAATAATTTCAAAATTATTTTTATTTACTATCTCTATCTATTTTATTAGAACTCATAATAATCAAAAAATAATTCCTATTTATTTTTAAGAACTACTAAGGTAACCTCATTAAACCGAATTCTGCCAAAATGAATATCTCATTAAACTAACAATTTTTCAATATACGTTTCCAGACCTATATATATTATCCCAGTAAATTAAAGTTTAATATTAACTACTCTATAAACTATTAACTGAAGATTTTTGAGATCCGCAAATATAAAAACTATCCCATTAAACTGAATAAAATGATATAATCTAATTTGAACCAATCAAAATTCAAGAATTTATTGATCTTTTTTTCACATTCTTTTTTCTCTATTTTTTTGCTATACCTATAGATTTCATTTTTACTAATTAGAATCTTGGGAAATATTAAAGTGATTTTTAGGTGTATTTCTCATTACATGTATAAAAATTACTTTTTTCCATTTTACATGTATTTCCAGGATGAAGGTCGCTGTACAAATTTCAATTTGTGAATTCTTTCCCGATTAACGATGATACAAAGAAAATATTGTAATTTCTCGTTCCAAGTCAATTTTTCGTAGTTGGAATTAAATGTAATATATTCGCGAAGCTCGCCATTTCTTGCTTAAGCCATAATTATCGAGTATTAGTATTCATTGCAACTCGTTTCAGTTATTCCGTAATAAGAAAAATAAAAAGAACTTTTAAGAGCAGTCTAAATCTAGTTTGAAAATTTAATTTATTAGAAGCAAAAATCCAACTTTCATTTTAGAAAATTTTTTTACTTCGTGCATTAAACTCTGGAGTAATTTGCTTTGAATTGTGTAATGATTTCAACACAACTTCTCGTTCTCCATATCGTTTCTTCATGATCCCATTCGTAAATTTGTCCACCATCCAACCAGGTTGCTTTATAAATCGATCCAAACCTCCTTTTGCAGGATATTCAACATCGGGCGAATCTTCAAAAGGAATCCTTCATTAATTTTGCTTGCATTCTTTTATTAGATTATCGATATCTTTGTCTACGCTAGACAATTTATCGTTGTAAATTCGTTTTGTGGTTATTTGAAACACTCATCGCAATAGCTATTCTTTTGACAATCAGCACATTCATCACAAATGATGAGTATTTGATTCCATCTCTGGATAAAATGCGTGAATAATATAAAACAATCAAGTGGCAATCGTTGTCGTTATCGTTACGTATGTGTGATGATGTTAATACATGTATATACTCAAGAGGGGGGATAATTTAACACATTGCTGCGCATTAACGTTAATGCGTATTACGTACAATTTAATGGTTTTTACAGAGAAACTGGAATAAATAGAAAAAGATTGTTAAAAAAAGCAAACCATTAATATTATACTGTACTTAATCTACGAAACGAACCCACCAATAAAGAAGTATAATTGGAAATGTGATCATTCAAATCTTTTTACTGATACTTAGCAATAGATTAAAATGAGATGCATGTATTTAGTGTAAATAGTAAAAAGAAATCATTTTCTAGAGGCATAATTCTGTATTTACCATAATTGATTAGCGAATTTTGTGAAATTTTCACGCTATAAGGGATCCACCTATTTCCGTGCACTTTTTTACATATATAAAATTTTATATATATTATATTTTTCTAAAATTTTTAATATTAATCATATAATAATAAAATGAAATAAGAAAAATTAAAACTTATCATTAGAATAATAATTATCATAAATTTAGATTGGACATAGCGATAGTATGATCCAAAAAGGACATCAATGCAATTAATCATGCTGTAAATTAAATAAAAAAAATTAAAAAAACAAGCCTAAAGATAAATAAAAAAGACGGAAATAGGATGGATTAGAGATTTTAAAATAAAGTTTTTGAGATGTTGCATAAAAATAGACTTTCATAATAAAATCTTGAGACACTAAATGCATAAAAATAGATACATTTATATGAAAATAAGCGATCAGTTTTTAAAAAACACAAAAATATTTAGATTTCCATTGTAAACATATTTACTTAATAGTTTAAATTTTGATTAGAATATTCGATATCTATTTTTTGCGTCAAATCAGCAAAAAAATGTACATGTATAATTTTAATCAGCAAAGATTTATACGTACATGTACTGTCGCCACAAAAGTAACGCCCAATTTGCATGTGTAACAACATAGGTTATTGTTGACCCTAATTTTTTTTATTATTTTCTTCTTTTACTTTTAAACATACACCAAGTGAAATCTTTTAGGTGTAAATATGATACCGGTCGTACCAGTAGGCCATCTTTGACAAGGATAAAAATAGTGATTTTTATGAAGTTATGAGTGTCAAGCAAGTTGCAAAGAAAATGTGACATACCCGGTTAGAGTATAATGGTCTCTTGTCGAGTACAAAAAGAAACAGGAAAAACAAAAATTTGCCACTATCTGAGAGACCATAAGCTCATAACTATCAAGAAAAATGCATATATGCAAGAACCCAAAAAAGACATCCCAAGCCATTTCATGACATTGGTAATAAAAAATCTGTGCAAAAACTTACCTGAAGATTCTCGAAAGTAATTTGATCCCTTTTCATAATATAATTTACTCATTGCAGTTTGCTTGGCGTTGATTTACTCTATTTGAATTTATTTCACTTTTTTCCCTAATGTAGATCAAGTCATTCTCTCAAATCAAAAAAATGTGTTGTAACCTGATGATAGTATAATGGTCTCTTGCCAAGTACAAAAGAGATAGGAAAACAAAAATTTTTCACTATCTGGAAGGCCATAAGCTTTTAAAAATCAAGAAAAAAATACATCTATACAAGAAGCAAAAAAAGTTATCCTGAGTCATTTCACAAGATTAGTAATAAAAATTCATGCAAAATCTTATCTGAAGATTCTCTAGGATAATTTGATCCCTTTTTATAATATAATTTGTTCATTATTTGAGAGAACATGATATTTCAAAAAAATGAAACTTGATTTACATTAGGAAAAGAAGTCATGAATAGAATCAAATAGAGAAATTAATGAATATTGTATTCTTATGACTCAAACTTTATAGAAATATCTCTAAGTTATTGGGGAATAATATTCTAAAATGTAAAAGCTTCTCAAGAATCATGTAAAAGCTCAAGACTACTCTGAAGAAAATTTGAAGAAAATTTGATATGTTGATTTTTGAGAATATTGTAGGCTGAATATCTTGAGAAATCAAAGCAATATTAGAGTTATATGAAGAGTTAATAATGTATTATCTATTAATAAAAAAATATTTTTATATTTATAAGACAGAAATAAAATAAATCTGAAATTTTATTTTTTATTAAAATTAAATGTTATTTCTGACTATATATATATATAGTCATCACAAAAAGTAATGCCCAATTTTTTTAAAAAATAAAATTTCAGATCTATTTTATTTCTGTCTTATGAATATAAGAATATTTTTATTACTAGTTAATATATAATTGGCTCTTTATATAACTCTAATATCACTTTGATTTCTCAAGATATTGAGTCTACAATTTCCTAAAAAGCCAACACATCAAATTTTCTTCAGAGTAGTCTTGAGCTTTTTCATAATCCTTGAGAAGCTTATACACTTTAGAATTTTATTCTCTGATAACTTAGAGATATTTCTATGAAGTTTGAATTATAAGAATATAACATTTATTAATTTCTCTATTTGATTCTATTCATGACTTCTTTCTCTAATGTAGATCAAGTTTTATTTTTTTGAAACATTATGTTTTCTCAAATCAATAAACAAATTATCTTAGAGAATCTTCAGATAAGCTTTTACATGAATTTTTCATTATCAATATTGTGAAATGGCTCAGAATATCTTTTTTTGCTTCTTGTAAAGATGCATTATTTTTAAAAGCATATGGTCTCCCAGACAGGGATAAATTTTTGTTTTTCCTGTCTCTTTTGTACTTGGTAAGAGACTATTACACTATCATTGGATTACAACACATTTTTCTTGATTTGAGAGAACATGATATTCAAAAAAAAATAAAACTTATCTACATTAGGGAAAAAAAATGAAATAAATTCAAATAGAGTAAATCAGCGCCAAGCAAGCTGCAATAAACAAATTATATTATGAAAAGAGATCAAATTACCTTCAGAAGAAAATAATAAAAAAAAATTATTGACAACAATAACGAAAACACGACACCTATGTTGTTACACATGCAAATCGGGCGTTACTTTATGTGTCGACTGTACATGTATTTCGAATTGCACGTGGTTGTTGGATTCTGCTTGAAAGTGATTATTACATGTACATCTACATGAATTTATAATTCTACGATTATGATAAATGCGTAACTTTTACATATTGCTTTTGAAGCAACGCACACGATGGATCCTATACATGTACATGTATGAGTGAATGGACCCATCGTCCAAATAAGTTTTATTTATTTTATTCGTCGCCTTGTAATTGAATTGATAATCGCAATTAAAATAATTTATAGTTGAATAAACTAATAAGATACGTAATATTGTAAATATAAAAGTTAAACAACATGTAAGCAAATGTTCATGTACGAACGTTAACGTCAATTATGCAAAGCTAGAGTTAGCATACGAAATATACGAGTTCCTTTTATACATCGCCTTGATATCCTATAGAGAATTCTAATTACGTACGTAGATGTTTATTTAGTTACAATATATGTTAATAGAAACCCTGTAATCAATTTTTCGTAGATTTTATCAAGCTAGAAAAACATGTAGCGGTAGATTCATGAAAATTATATCTTAAAGCCTCCTATAAAAATAGTGATTCAAACGGTATATTAAGAAAATAGACCCAAAGCCTTAAAATCGAATTATAAAAATAGCAATAAAAAGAGAAAAATGGGTTTGCGTGACTTTTATTTTTAAAATTGCAGTGTTAATGTTCGCCACAACCGTCTACAGATTGGCCGGCATATTCTGAACGCTGAACCGGACGGGCACTAAATCCAATTGCTTTACGCAAATTCAAGAAATCTCTAAAGAATATTGGTTGAACGACTCCGCTCACGTGCCATAAAACTCCTTCTGAGCATTTCGGAGTAGTTAGACTTCCAACATATTGATATACCTATATATATCAAAGAATATATTAATGAAAAATATAGTTATATTCTCTACAAAGTACCAAATACTTACATTTTTATTGTCAAAGGCTTTACCAAAGAAATCTCCAAGATTAAAGCCAATAATTGTTTCGACTTCATTTTTTTTCGCTGGCACAAGATATGGATCTAAAATTGAATCCCAAGGGTATTTTGGTATAACATCAACGTTAAACAAGAATCCAACAACGGCTATACCGGCGTTTTCGCTAGGATCAGTTTTGAATACGAAATGTACTTCAGAATCAGAGTGACGATTATTGATGCGATGTTCTGAAGGAGTATGGAAATGGAAATTATCCAATTTATATTCGATACCATTTTTGACCAACTTGAAGTCAAGTAACGAATTGTCGGTTGAAGTGTATGTGATTGCATGCCCATTATTTCTCACTCTCAATGTATAGCCGTCTGGAAGGTTGTTGACAAACGATGTTGGATTGTTGACCGAATTACCAAAATGTGATGAATCGATATCAATAGGGGATTGGTGTAATCCAATTTTACATAACGGTGAATTCCATGCTTCGTTATATGATGTTGGTCCATCGTATGCCGTATATCCAAATTCTTCTGCATTTATAACAAAGGCAAATAAACAAAAAATAAAGAAAATTTTATTCATATTTTCCTATTCACGATTTTTGTTAATGTGGTGATTATGAGATAGATGCTCGAGTTTTTATTAATGATATGATATTATTATTACGTGTTAAGTTATATTACAAATTTTAAGATGAGAAATGAGTGCGAACCTTAATTTATATCAAATTTTCGCAATGAATTACTTCTGACATATGATATATTTTTATTAATTTAATTTTATTGTGTGACATCAAAAAGAGCTCAAAACCATCATTGTCTTGTGCAAAAGATCAACATGACGCACGTATTGTTGAACAGGGAGAGTCATTTATATTGACGTATTATTTCTAGGCTTTTTTATGTGAAGTCAATGACGTCAAAATCAATTTCATCGCAACTTAATTTTGTGTTTGATTATGTGCCTTTTCATTGAACATTCTTTTCGATATGTTTCAGATCTGTTATAAACCTATTTCCATTCAGTCCAAAAATGGCATTATCGAATTTAATTAATAATAAAAACAAAGTAATAATTATAATATAAACAAGTTGAATGATGGAAGTGAGACAAGAAAATGATATGTTATGTATTTATTATCTAAAGAAATTAGAAACCACACGAAATAAACTTAAAGATCCCTTCGCTTTCCTGCTCTCTTAAATTCGCACAAGCAAACGGAAAAAACATAAATAAAATGGGCTCATTTTAGAATTTGCATACATGTACATGTATATTCAATGGCAAGGGGATCGGTCACGTATCGCAGAAAGTTTCGATTTGGTTTTGGATGAAAAACTTAGATTTAGCCTTAAAACCACAATGATGTATATAGGTAGTTTTCCATAGCGATAGAATTAACATTAAAAAGAAATTCAATATCCCATACCCGATACGTAAACAAATCCGTGTCAAAAGATCAACAAAATTAACTTTTTGTAGGTTTAAAAAGATTCAATTGCTAATTATCGTCATTGTTTGTTATTTTCACTATGCTAAAAGCGTTTGAAATAAAATTATTATGAATTAAAATTTACCAATCACTTTCGGCGATTCAGCAAATCTCTACTATAAAAGGGCACCACACTTCGTTGATCAAACTATCATGTACATGCACAAATCTCGGAACAATAGCGATAGCATTAAAGAACTCCGCATCTGATATGATCAATTAATAATTGAATTACAAGATGTAGTTTGTACCGAGCGGTTTTGTAAATAAAAGAATTATTTTTTTTTTGAAAATATATCATTATTTAAGCGTTTCTAATAACAAATACAATAACAAGATTAAGTTGACACAAAGTAAGGTTTTCCAATCCCATAATGAAATCAGTAAAGCTATGGCTTACGGTAATAATAGTCACCATGTTATTAAATCCAATATGCAGTTATGCACAAATACCAGGAACGAGACAAGAACATTGTATAGTAACATACAATAATACAATTTATCTATTTGGCGGTTTCAAAAACTCAACATCGCAATCACTCGACCCTAATTTCTTCTTCTCAGCCACTCTTCCATTCACTACTGACGCGATATCATGGACTCCACTTGATACAAAAAATGCAACAAGTGTAGCAGATCCTGAATGTATCGTCGAACCGAGTTTAGGTTATTTACTGATAATAGGCGGAGTCAAAGATGTCTCCGACTTCTCAAGCAATCCTGGGATTCAAGTGTACAATTTTAAAAAACAGTTGTGGAATGAACCGAATCTGTTGCAAAGATTTCCACAGGAATTTCTTGCACCAATTTATAGACCACGCGCAACTCTTATAGACTCTGGGGTTATTTTTATTTGGGCTACTTCTTATAAGGAGAAAAAAGCAGATTCATTTATATATAATCTCACTTTGACGATAGATGAACCATGGCAATGGACACCGATTATAATCAATGTATGTAAGGTATGAAAGAACTCTTATCTTTAATCAAAAATTTACTTATTTCTTTTAATATATATAAAAGAACACAAAATTAAACGTGACATGTTCACCTGGGATCGCAAGTTCAAAAGGAAACGCATTTATATTTGGTGGTTTAACAAGAGAGCTAACCGGATTTGAACCACATCGAGAAATGTATATTTATAACCCGAAACATGGCTTCATGCTCCCAAATATCAATGTTCCCACATCAATTGGTGACGCTATAGTCGGAATTCTTGCTAATAAGATTCATATAATTATTTTGGATGATGGTGATGTGACAGCTTACAAACCAATTATGACGGTGGAATTTGATCTGAAAACTTTTGAAATGAGTCGCGTTAAGGTGCCTAAAAAATTCACACTTAATAGACGAAGAGCAGCAGCTACGAGCATTTTTGGATCGGATGTTATTTTGGTAACTTTATGTTATACATGTAGTAATCGCAAAACATGTTAAACGTATGCTAAATCTAAACTTGATATTTTAGATTCATGGAGGTATTGTCGGCCCATTAGGGCATAATACTACAGGTGATATGATAGCATATAACATGACATCCGGAAAGTGGTCAACAAAAATCAATATAATTGACCCGCCACGTCAATATGATAGTTTTGATTTACCAAAAATAAACGGGCTCGATTTGAACGATGATCCTTCGAATACAAAAACAGATTCTGATCGTGATCTTTCCACAGGTGCATTAATAGGCATCATTTTTGGCTCAGTCACAGTATTTACAATCATGACTGTGCTGCTGATACGAATTTGGATGGAGAAAAGACATCAACTACGTTTAACTGAATTGGCTGAAATTATTAATAATAATGATTTGGCTGCGCGAGAAAATGCCAAAAGTAAACCGGTCATTACTTTTGTTAAAAATGAACATGGCTTATATTTTTCTGCTGCTTCAGAAAATCTTTAGACATTTAATCTTTATATTTTGAGATTTTCAATGCAAGAAGTTACATTATTTATTATGCTAATTTTACGACAAATATTATATTCATATTAACTCTGTTCTGTTAAATTTATTCTTTCTGTTTTTTTGTTCATATACGTGTCATAATGTATAATAAAATTTTAAAAACTTAAAATAAAAGTAATATGTATAAAATATTAAATTAGAACAGATTTCAAAACCAGCCAGCTTTCAATTTTTTAATGAATACAACTATTTATTCAGCATTTTTCATCTTTTCGACCCTTCAATACATAACATGCTCTTTCCAACATAACTACTCTTATAGTTTTGCAATGCTCATTATCTCAAATCCATGTTCTTTCAAAAATAATTTTCAAGAGCTAGGGTGATGACAAAATAAACAAAACTACAGTGAATTATTTGAGCAGTTTTATTACAATTACACCGCAACCTTAAATTGGTGAGTACTAGCCTCTTTATAGACTTTACACGATCGATAGGAATATACGATCAAGAAGTATTGAGTTTACCTATCGAATATTTTTCTTAGCCACTCAGCTGGATTTGCTTAATAAAATTTTGAATTCTCCAATTTTAATCTAAAATGCGAATAAAATATAGCCGAAAATACAACTTTTTGAAAAATTACCCTATATCTTTGCTTTTTGAACAAAAAACAAAGAATAAATTGCAATTTTGTAATTTTTTATTATTATTTAATCCTAGTTTATCAAGCTAAAACGCATAGAAACCAACAATAAACAGGGTCTTTTTATATCATTTTTCAACAATATAGGTTTAATAATGATTATTTGCTAAAAGTTATTGATTAAAAATGTTTGCTAAATTATTTTCAAAAAATTTGGCTTTAATTATTAATTGACTGATCAAATTAACTTTTTTATAATAATCTCTTTAATAGAACTTATTAAAAGTTCTCTAAACTCAATAATAATTGTTATAAATATTTTAAATAATGTATATACAAACACTCAACTTGATATTTCTTGCTTACTAATTATATAGTAATTCTAGTGATAGTTTATTAAATATTCATTATATTATGAGTTTATTAATAAATCACTATATTCAAGAAATTTTATTATAAATAAATCTGGCACTCAAATTTATTATATTCTAGATCTAATTAGTATTATTATATATGGATTTATTATATTTATATAACTAATTCATATAATAATTATTAATTATTTTTTAATATAAATTTTAAATAAAGAATTAATAATTTAAACTAAATTATTTTTTAAATTTCTAAATATTAGATTATAATAATTAAAAATAATATAATATAATAAAAGCTAATTTATTAATAAAATATAAACTTTTTATATTAATAAATTAATTTTTTTAAGTAATTAGAACTTTTTATTTAGAAAAATCTTAAAATTTTAACAAATTCTTTTTATTTAGTTTGAATTAAAAATAAAAATATTTATTAATAAAATTATAAATTTAATATAAAAAAGTTTTATTTTTATTAGATATTAAATATAAAATTTTTTAATTTGTTAAAAATTTTTATTTTTAATTCTAATAATACTAGATACTTTTTATTTTAATATATATTTTTCAAATTTTTAAAAAAGATTATTTTAATTTTATATTAATAAATAATTAATTATTAATAAAATTTTATATTTTAAATTATTAGATTTAATAAATAAATTTATTTATTAAAATATTATAAATTTATATTAAATTTATTAAAATTTCTTTTAAATATTAAATTTAATTATATATTATATAATAGATCTTTTTTATTTATTAATTATTATAAAAAAATAAAGTTATTTATAAGTTAAAAACATATAATTTTAAAATTTTAAGCTTATTTTTCTTTAAATCTTATAAAATTTAATATAAAAAATAATTTTAATATAATCTAGTATAAAAAGATTTATATTTTAATATAAATTAATAATCATTTTTAATCAAAAAAAATTCAAATTTTAATTAACTTTTATAATTTTTTTATATTAAATAAAAAATAATTTAAATTAACTTTTTATATTATTTTAATTATTTTATTATACTTAATTTAATAATAAATAAAGTAATATATCTAAAAAACTAAAATAAAATTATTTTTTTAAAAAAAAAATATTTTAAATATTAAAATTTAATTAATACAAGCAGATTATTTTAAATTTTATAAAAATTAAATTAGTAAATATAAAGAAATTAAGATTTATAATTTTATAATAAATTATTTAATATATAATTTTTATATTAATTTAATCAAAATTTAATTAATAAAATTTAAGAAATAATAATTTAAAAAAGTAATTTTTAATAAAAGTTTTTTATAATATATAAAAAATTTTTTATATTTAAAAAATTTTAATTACTAATAATTTAATTAAATAAAATAAAATTTAAATTTTTTTCAAAATTATATTAAATTTTAAAAAAATTCTAAAAAATTTTATAATAAATTAATTATAAAATAAATTATATAATTAAATCTCTTTATAGTTATATAATAATTATTAAAAGTAATATAATATTTAAATTTTTTACTAATTATAATTAGTAAAAAATTTAAGTATTATATTACTTTTAATGATTACTGTATCTTTTTATAATTATATTTTTTAGTTAATTTTTTAAGTTTTTTAGTTATAAATTAATTATAATCAAAAAAATTATTTTATAATTATATTTTTTTTTAATTATATAATTTTATTTTTATAAATATAATAAGATATTTGATTATATATCTTTAACAAAATTAATTAATATATTTTATAATTTATTTTTAATATAAAAATATAGAAATATAACTTAAAAAAATTTTAATAATATATAAAATAAATCTAAAAAATTTTTAATAAAAAAGTTATTTGCTAAATAATTTAAAAAATAATATATTAATTTTATATCTTATAAAAATTATATTATAAAATTTAAATTTTTTATTTTATTTTTATATATTATATTTATAATCAAAATTTATTTTAATATTTTTAATAATTATTAACTAACTATATCTCTTTAGATTATTAAAAAAAATAAAATAGAAGTTATTCTTATCAATTTATATTTAAATTTTTTATCTGAATATTTTGGATATAAAGAAACCTATCAACAAATTGCAAATAAATATTAGTGAAATAGTATAAAAACTGATATAAAAAATTATATAAAGACTTGTGAAATTTGATAGCAAACTGATTATAATAATTTTGATTAGGTTATCTTTCTTTAGATCTCTTTTAGCTTAGATCTTTATTTTGCACTATCTGTATAATA